CAACGGTTCCGCGAACTAAAACAAAACCTAAATCGGAAACTAGTAGTTTTTCGCTCCACGATTATAAAAAACTTGTAAGAACTCTCATGGCTGACATCGTGGACACTGGTACAAAAGATTTTCGACTAATCTCCCGCAACTCTACGTCTTTAGACTATCTGTCTGTTTGATAAGTTTGTATGGGTTTAGAGTTTTGATTTACGAATTCCGAAAGAGATCGTCGTTTCCAATTCTAATTCTACTCACGCATTCTGAAAGTAACGACGAGTCTTTCTATTCGAAGTTGATTCACGCACTCTCCCACAAGGTAAAGTTTTTAACTTTTGAAAACTGAACGTTTGAAGCACACAACGCAGTACAGGATATTTAATCCAGTACTCAGTTCCTCCGTTCAACAGACAGATAACCATACTTCACTTACACAATACGCGCCATTGGAAAATTAATAACGCTTCACGCTCTCCATCTTCCTGTCAGAGACGTTTACTTTTTACCTTTCTACTCAACGCAAAAACTGTTTCAAAAGACTTTTAAGTCACTATGATAATATCCGAGCAAATTTTTCGACATTCGGCTCATCTGTGTCCAAAATCAGAAGTAATTTATGGAAATAAATACGCGAAAGATGACACGGCCACTACAAAGAACCAACAAGCATTTGTGACTGCGTAGAGCAGATCGTGAAGCGCTGACAGTCTTTCGGTGTGCAGAACTCGATGACCAAAAAAGGGAGACCCAATCATTCGTCCAATCATACTTAAGAATGATTAACTTCAAGGAGTCGGATACAAGAAGGCAAAAAGTTGCAAGACTAACTACAGACATCGCCGCGCCAATACAGCAAAAACATGGTCTGCAGCAAAACGGAGTTTTCGATCATTGTATTACCAGTGCTATCCTACTGCTGTCAAAAGTGAGCCCTGAGTATGAAAGCTAGTCATAAACTGTAGACTACGCAATGCAGCATGGAAAGATATGTGCTGGTTATAACAAGAAACAGGATTATGAACGAATAGGAGCACAGACAAGAGTCTGCAGAAGTGAGAAAGTTTAAATGTCTTTGGGTACGAGACTTTGCAACGATAGCCAACCGTCGCTGAACAAATGAGACATTAGAGTGGGTTCCAAGAGACAGTAAGCGACTAGCAGGAAAACCTCTAGATCGATGGCAAGATGAGTTGAAGAGGAGGTTCGCTCGATCAAGATGGACAGAAGTTTACGGCAGTTCTGGAGAAGCCTAGCTGTGGATCGGAAAACGCTAATAAGATGATGATAAGATCTATCGCGTTCTTGTTGTGCAAGTTCATTTTGCAAAGAATAGTGCTTCACACATACTGCACCTATGCCACGGGATGTTAAATCACACTCCTTGAATGAAAAAATGTCATTTCTCGGACTGGAACAAAGAAGTTATTGTGACTGCCAATGAAAGTACTAGCAAAATGTACAAGTAATGGCTTCTTAACCAAGCCAGGCCTTATTTTATTCACTGGAAAGTTCGAACGAGTTTACGTCTACCAAAAAAGAGCCCCTTCGGGCATAAGGAACTAACGCAGACCCAAGGAAGGACGCCAGCGGAAACGACCATGTGCAAAAATATATTAGTGTGAACTCTGGGTTTTGCAGTCCACTACTCTCTAGGATGGGAATCTAACAGACGTCTTTCTGTCTTTTCGTTCCAGAATCTACGTTACAACAAAAGATAAAGAACCAAAAAGAAGAAAGACATGTGTTTGAACGATTCATGGCTCAAGGCACAAAACACTGCAGATGGTACACTTTATTACCGACGCGTTTCGCTACATGGACCTTGGCATCATCAGGACTAAGCAAAGTACAAAATTAACAAAGTTACGTTGCGTCCTCGTAATAATACATTGTTCTCTGTTTGGATGATTAAAGACATGAAGCTATCTAAAACACGAAGCTATTTTGTTGCGCAAACCTTGCTGCTACATGTAATCAGTAAAGGGCTAAACGGGTAAAAATATTTTTGTAATTATTCAACGATAAATTCAACCTCAGGGTAAACCTCGAACTTTCTCAGAAAATCTCAGTTTATGAGTCTGAACTGTTGGTCGAGTAGAGCCTATCAATACTAGTTGTAAGCATATGGCACAGGCTTTGCGTGATTCAGTGAGCAACCTGAACAATTCGCAGTTTTGTCGAATGCAATCTGTTGGTATTCGTTTTCACCTGTCAAAGGCAGGACGTGTACATTATCACAGCAGATGTGGCAGAGACTGTGTGTTATCAGGTTACTTGTAGCTACTCAGTTGCCCAACGCAATAAGCCCCGGTTCGATCCACTAGGTAACAAGCACATTACACTGCATGCATCAAGCTGTTTTCAGAAAAAATATATACCATGGCTCCCAATTCTATCTGTCCTAATCGTGATTTCAGACGCACAACCATAGATTCCTATTTTTTTCAATTCAATGGTTGCCGTCCTCTGCGAGGACGAAAAACGATATGACGAGCTAAAAGATGACGGAAACGCAGATTATTTATCAGCTGCTGCAGATCATCTTTCTTCGGTATTCGTCTTTACATAGTCCGGGACCACTTATAAAAGGATCACAATTCTTTAGAAGCTACTCAACAAAGGATTCACCGTTAGCAATGAAGTAGATTTTTAATTTGGTATTTCTCAATCAGACAAATACCTATTGGTATGTATTGTCCGCAAAATTTCTGCCCATCGACGTTTTCATTTAGATTTATCGAATGTCACAAAGATCTACATGTCGATGTTTCTTGCTACCTTCTGCCGTTGTTTTTTGTTTCATGTATAGATAGTGACAATTGTAAGCCAAATCCAACGTCTGAGTTGACTTGTTGAATCCCTGCTACCAGTCATTGGTACCTGGTAGTAGTCCACTTGACACCTTCTAGACTGGGCTAATTTTCGATGTGATACACCATAGATAGTTTACGCAAAAGATCCGTCTGCCAAACCACCAAACAGCCTTGGCTACAGGCTGAACTCCAAGAAGTTACAGCATTTTCAGATGTGCGAACACTGTCACTGCTGTCTGTACATCCGAATTTTCTGGCAAAGGGCAAAAGACTTTGATGAACCTCAAAAAGACGGCTTACCCTGGCAGAATTTTTATGTTCAAGACAAATCCACTTAGGAAAATGACCCCTTGATTAGAAACTCGGGTAGGAAGATTGGAAAAAAAATCTGTTCTCGGTGAGTACCATACAGGAAATGCATCATGCCTTAACCAGCGTATCTACTCGCTGGGACAAAGAAAATGTTTCGTCTGCAGTTATATTTTCATCTTTTCAAAGCGCGGAAACACCACCACAGGTTCTTTCAATTTATTCAATTTCGGAGGCAGCATCGATCACCAGCTCTCTCCACTGTTTGTCGCAAACAGAGGGTGGGATATGGCACACGACCAGTTGTGTGAAACCAACTAAGAAGAATGTCGTTTAAAAATGAACATGATTATTAATAGCTGTCGATCACCATTTTGGGATATCATATTTAGGAAGGAACGGTTGATCGGCGATCGGTTCGCCAAAGAAGCGTTCAGGCATCAAATGGGCATGGAGTAAAACCGTTAAATCCTCATGTTTCTACTTATTTTGATGCTTCCACACATTTCATTAAAACTTTTCTATTGAAAAGCGACCAGATGGATAGTAAGCGGGCAGAACTCAAAAATCACACAAAGTACCGAACTAGTCAGAAATTAGACTTAAGAGATGGTGTGGTAGTGCAAACATCTCAAATGGCACTAGTGTGTTTGCGTAGGAGGATCAGATGTGGCGCACGGGATGCGTTAATGAAGCGCACACTTGATTTTCAGTGAAGGAAACCGGCGATTCCCTTCCTTACGAAGTCTGTCCCACTGCTGGTCGTGATGATCGAAGCTTAAACGGCATTTTAACATTGATATGGTAATCTTGGAGGGTTTGTTCATAACTCACCAGGTTGGCCAGGTGAGTTGGTAAATACCGACTCTTCCATCTGGCCGGATCTGTCCGTGATGTTTTCCTTCACAGCAAGGGTGAACCAACAAGAGCCGTGTGCTCAGCTGTACAATATTTAGAAAACGCGTTGTGTCACCCTCCTACCAATAAGACAGCGGAGGGTGTTTCGGGTAATAATGGCGACGGTGCAATGCCAGTAGCTAAACGACACTGTCTACTTACAATAAACCTGGACGGTGGTCTAGTGTTCCCTTATAACGTTATGCGTCATTTCAAGTTGCAAGACAGACGCAAAAACACGGAAAAGAGTTCGGTCGGTTGACAGGCAGTTTTTTGTTTGCTATTTTTGGAAATTGAGAAAAGCAAACCTCACTGTCTCAGATGAACGTCAAAACTCGACGCTGAAGTAAACTTAAAACTTATTCTGTTGTCTAGTCTTGGACACTTATCGTATCGAAGTGGTTTTCTTAGCGTATCGTTGTCGACTGACATACTGGTGCAGCCAAGCCAGCAAGGGGTAAGCGATTTTGCTTCGATCAATGAACGAAGACATATCATGACCTCGATTCCGCGTTGTTGGAACCGCGGCCCGAGTCCGAAATGGAGGTACGGCTCCAGTGCAACGCACTGTCATCGATCGGAACGGGCGTTCGTTTGTTGCAGTGCAAGGGCAAGGAACGCATGGGAACAGAAAAATTCAAACCATAAGCGTTAAAAGAAGTGACTGCGTGAATGTAACTGGTTATTACTATGCAGGTCTTACAGCTGACCGAGACAAAAATGCAAATACGCAAGTGCTTTGTACCTGGATTTTGAAACTTGTTGCCGACTGCTGCTGTTGTTGGACCACTCTAGCGTTGGTTGCTGACCATTGCCCATGATCCTGCGAGACTTGCTGGTCAGCTCTCGAGGAATCATGCGTGATCACGGCGGTAGAAGCCGCCGTCGCCGAGGCATTCGCTGGACCTGTGGCACTGGTTCCAGAGACGACGAACCCAGAGCCAGAGCCACTTCCTATGGAGCCCGCTCCAGAACCAGGACCAGCGCTGACCGACGCTACGGAATGGGTGTTTGTGGCGGTAGCTGCAGCGACGGCGAGAGCGGCAACCGATGGTGCCGGCGACGCAGAGGCAGAGGCAGAGGCAGAGGCGTAGGCAGAGGTCGGGATG